TCTCTCTCTCTCTCTCTCTCTCTCTCTCTCTCTCTCTCTCTCTCTCCCTCTCTCTCTCTTTCTCTCTCTCAGCTCATGTCCAACTTCCGCACTGTAAGCTCCTTATCGCGTTTGCGCTCGGGAATCAATTTCGTGATTAGGCTTCAATTGCATTCAGAGTCGTGGACAGCCTTTCTAAAAGTGACCTAAAATACAAATGTTTTTAAAACAAAAAACAAGACACTTTTTGTTATTCAGTATCGAATTATGGAAAAATTTCCCGTAACCTTTTTACAAATATTTCTAGTAGTGATTCTACGGATGTCAAACTTAAAATTAATCATATGCTGCAACACATCTCGCTCCTTTGATGACTCGTCATGACGTAGAATGTGTACAACTGTTCAGCAAGTGGAGCGGCGGCGGTAGTCACATAGTATTAAGGATTTAAACTCGCGTTAATTGGAAGCCCGCGCGGGTTTAAACCAACCCAACCGCCACCGGTTATGGGATTGGGTCCCGGGGCAGCCGTCAGTCGCGAGCGTGCATACGAGCGCACAGTGTGTGTGTGTGTGTGTGTGTGTGTGTGTGTGTGTCGCATTGGCAGCTGTTTACTTTGCGTGGGTAAATTACCATGCGCCTTGCCGAGCGGGCCGCGTGCACAGGGCGCTTGGCGCGGCTGGCGCCTGGCTGGAGGACTCGGCGGGGACGGCGGCGGCGGCGGGCGTCTCAGAGGGCCAAATAGCCATTTAACTCAAGCCGACGGCGGTGGCAGGGCGAGGCGCGGGCGCTCATCCCCGAGCGGTACCTCCTTCCTTATTGCAGTGGGCTCTTCTTGCGAGTGAGGAAGGGAGAAAAAAAAGGGATATGGTTGCGGCGCCGACTTACCGGACAACTTGTGTGTCGTGCTCCGGCATTTCCATTTTGATGATAGGTCCGAAAAGGGCTCTCTCGCTCTTTCCTGGCGCTGCTGCCGGTGCTCTCTACTCGTCTCTGGGCCTCCCTAAATGGGCGGGGCGGGCGGGCTCGGCTGTGCGAGAGCATCCCCACTAAAATATTCAACGAGAAGCTAATGGAGCACAAAGTTGACCGGCGGAATTCAATTTCAAGTCCTTGTGCATGACGGAAATAACCCTTTTGCCTTTTTGGGGGCGGCATTAACATTTGTGCAGCATGATCCGCTCTAACTCCCTGCCAAATGTTGCAGCTCTCGGCTCCACGGCTCTGCGGGCGGCGTGGCGGCTGGCGGCGCGGCTCCCGTTTCGCCACACCCAGCAACAGCACGCCAGGCGCAGGGAAAAATTCAGCCGGAAACGTGAAACAAGGTAGGACTTCCCTTCCCAGTTCTATTGGAATGTACCAAAAATGTGCTGCGTCCGCCAACAGAGAATCTTGAGTTTAGTTATCATCCAGGAAGTACATCGGTCATTTGCCGTTATGAACCTGCCAAAGTTCAGCATTTTTCCATTTTTTTTTTTTTTTTTTTTTTGGTATTTGTTTGGCCTGTGCAAGCTATCATATCGCCTGCTAGGTAGGCAACATCTTACCTGTAGTGCATGCGTGTACGGTGGGTGCCCGTCTCGCAGGCGCCGAGCTCTCATAGTATTAGGAATGAAGTATAATAACGGGCATACTTTATGAACATTCCCTAAAGAATGCAAGTTTTCTCACGGGCAAACAAAGTCCTAGTGTCAAAAACATTCTGACTACAAGCTATCGTGTCACAAGTGGTGAAGGGGTTTGGAGCATAACCTCTACTCTTACATTACTACCCAATGGTTAATTAGGAGAGTTAGTTTACTTGATTTTTTTTTTTTTGCCCCGCTCTACTCTCTCCCTCCATCCTTATCCCCCTCCCTCTCTCCC